AGCCCCAGTTCCACAAAACAAAACAAAACAAAACAAAACAAAACGAAAACCCTGGAGCAGACTTCAAGAAGAGAGGACAGGGGCCTGGAGCAGAGTGTGACCCCTCGGTTCTGGGGGAGTTGGGCACTTTCTGGGGTGCTTCTTCCAGTGTTGCTCTTCCCTGCTGGAACATTGGTTGGGTAGCAAACCTGCCTAGAGAGATATCTTCACAGCATTTCAGCATCCGCCACTGAGCTGCTGGTAGCTCTTGTCTTTGAGACTTGTTAGTCACCTAATATTTAGGAAGCACCTGTGGGAGCTTTGACACTCAAGACGATGCACTGAACTTGCAAAAAAAAAAAAAAAACAGTATAGAAAGCTCATCTCAAAACCGTCGCTGGGTGCAGTGCGTGCTGGGAAGACAGCCGCTACCTACAGATGCCAAGACGCTCTTCTCAGACCCCACAATGGGTGTGATGCAAACGCTCGACCTTATGTTCTGTTGCTGTCTTCGGTGGCCGTGTGTCCACAGAGCTGCGCTGTGACATTTCTTCCGAGGTGACCAGGTCACCGTGCCATTGCTTTGGGGAATTTGTGGAACTTCCTGATACCTTGAAAACATTCTATCAAAATAGATCTCAGTTAGGCTGAGCTCTGAAAGTAAGAATAATGTGCTCAGAATGGGTTTCGTAATAGAACCTATCAGTCCCAGTCATTTAGGCTGTGCAAACGTAAAATAAATCCAGCCCTGGTGTTAGCAGGTAAATTTGCAAGTGAAAGGAACTCAGAAGGAATGTTAACACAGGCACTGGAGTCAACCATGCAACTGATTTGTGTTTTGGGGTTCTTATAGGAGTAACAGAGCAAGAGTTCTGTCTCCGGATTTAATTTTGTAGACTACGGGCAGAGGGCTGGAAGCCACCTTCAGAATGAGGTGGGAAAAATGCTGGCGTTTGAGCCCTCCGGTGCAAAGTGGAAAGTGAGGTCACCTCACTAAGCCTCCAGGTTTGTGGGAGGAAGGACCGAGCGATCCTGAAGGCTCGCACAGTGCGGGGTTGGAGGGCCGAGGAGAGGGCTGGGGCGGCTTTTAGAGCACAGGAGGAGCACAACCCCGGGTCCCCCCACTTGATGGCTGTGGGGATTAAGTAGCCACTCTGGTGTCACCAAGATGGTGACTCTGCGTAATGAGCTCCCAGACCTCCAGAGGTGGGCTGGCCAAGCCCACTTCACTTCTGATTAATCAGCAGGCTTTCCTGGAGCCTTTTGGCATGCTCCACCGCTCCCCACTCACGCAGCATGGATGCCTCAGTCTCTGGGAAGTCACTACTCAGCCTGCCCGCCCGCCACCTCCCAGACTCAGTGTTTCTTGGTGTCTTGTACCACATCCCTCTCCCATCCTCACAGCCGCACCCAGCAAGGCGACAGTAGGGAGGAAGTCTCAGCCACAGGAAGTGCCCCGCTGCACGGTGCCATGCTGGGTGGGTGGCGCACTGCGGTACGCTTGGCCAGCAGATGGTCTTCACGCCCAGCTGCCCCTGCCAGCTGTACCCCACCGCTGATTTACGCAAAGCCTCAGAATTTTTTAAACTGTCGACTTTTCTGGCTACCTCCTAGACAAGACCTCTTGCTGTGGGGGTGGGGGCAGAAGCAATTTGCTAGACTCAGCCACTCCTGAAGGCTGCCAGATAGAAGCGGCCACGGGCTGGCGAGACAGTGCACCACTGTGCGAAATAGTCAACTGGCTTCCTCCTGCCCGCTGAGAGGGCCATCTGGTTGACCCCTCTGCCTCCAACTCGGGGAAATAAAACGCAGACTTGCCAGCTGTCCCTTGGTGGCTGGCACTGCCCCTCTTCTGGGCACCTGCCAGCTCCCACCATGGTGCCATCCCCCGCTCGCCTAGCTCCCTGCACTGTGCTCTTCTTCCATTACTAGGAGTCCGTCCACCCTCGCTCCTGCTCTGGGCAGCTCCTCCTGTGCCTTTAGCTGCACTTTCCTTCCATGAAATCGTCAAGTCACACGACGTGTACACAGGACGGCCGGCAGGCTCACCTGCCGCGCGGGGACAGCTAAGCTTCGTGGTGGACGCATGTGCATGTCACCTGCATCACCCTCCTCTCGGGACTTGGCACAAGTGAAGACTCTGACTTCACCTCGTTAGAGCAAGCGGAGGAGGCCCTGAAAGGGAGGCGGAGGGGCGTGGTCAGTGTGTCTTTTTCTTCCTTTTTAAGTGTAAGGCATTTAAAGCCCTTTTGATTTCCTTGCCACCCTGGGTATCAAAGGTTCCTGAAACATTACTTGGTGTAGATGGCAACAAATACGAAAGCAGCGTCTGAAGTTTTGAGAGCTTAGTAAGTTTTAATGTGCTCTCAAATATATTTACGCCTAATCCTCGGTGCCACCTGGGCGCTCAGCTTGGGCCCCACTCCTTCCTCCTCGCAACCTGCACTTTCTGCAGTTCTTAGAGTCGTCTCCATCCTGTGGTTTGCTCCTGCTCAGATGCTGCGAAGTACGGGAGAGGAGAGAAGGGGATCCAGGAGATTAGCTCAGACAGGAACAGACGGCAGCTTTTAGCAGGGTGGAGAGAAGGCAGGCCCAGGACCTGCTGCAGGCGTGCAGGTTCCACCTCCTGTGTGCGCTGGGGAGGAAAATAACACAGCATGCGAGAAAGTCATCCTCAGGCTGGCTCAAGGCCCACCACCCTGAGCTATTTTAACCCGCAGGAATGTCACATGAGACACCAAGCTGTAGCCGCAGAGACTAAGATGATAACAGCCCGTAAAGATGCAATGTGCATTCAGAAAATGTAACTTAGGGGAAAGTGTCATTTGTTTTAATTTGTTTCTTGTTTCCCATTTGCCTGAGTTAAAATTAGGCATCCATCACAGTGACGTCACAAGGGGCAGTGAGTTGCCCTCTGTGTCTGTTTGAGCCACCCTCCTTGCTGAAGGAGTGACCTGCCAGGGTCCCCGCTGAGTGCCCGTGCACCCTGGTGACACAACCCATTCTGCTCTTGGGCAGTGTGAATGGCCTGGGTCTCCTTGATCTATTTGCACCTCTGTGAAAATCCTTTCTGGGTCCTGTTCTACCTTCTGCCACTGCGGAGTAAGTTGTCTCCCTCTTCCGCATGATGCCTTCCTTCCGCAGGGGCAGCGCTGAAGCATGGGTATTGGAGGGTGGCCTCGTCCATCAGCCTCGTTCATAGCACCAGCTGTGCTGGGTCAACTCTCTAGACTCTTTATGTCACTGCCAGTGATGACACCAATCCTGCCCGCCGGTCACACTGCGGGGCGGTCTGGCTCAGAGCACACACTGTCCTTATTTCACTTGGCACGGCCTGGCGCAGCCTGGGGGCTTCCTCCCTCCCGTGGGTGAAGGTGTGCTCGTGCAGCCCTGTCTATACTTGGAGGTCAGCACTGTGTTCTTTGAGGGTGGCCAGGGTCACGTGAGCTGTAACTATGGGCACTGTCTTGGTTACTTTTCACTCGTTGCTAAGACAAAATGACACCCAAAATGAAGGAAGGAAAGGTTTACTTCGCTCACAGTTCGTGGGGGCTTCAGACCGTACTCAGCTGGTTGCAAGGCTGGGTGGCAGCACAGGGACAGCAGTTCAGGGCGGCAGAAGACAGCAAAGCATCAAGAGCCAAAAGGGGAAGCAACCGCCGCCACCTCTCTCCCTTCCTCACATTATAAGCAGGCTACCCCGGGCTGGGGTGTAGAATTGCACAATGTCCACACCCTGCTCTCGCACAGATGAGGGTGTGTACAGCATAAGAACCCCAGCCCTCTGCTGTCACTTAGTTAAACTTCTAAACTTCTCACGCTGACACAGTGCATCGACCAGCACAGGCACCAAATGGGAGCTCAGATCTTCCCCTACGCGGAAGCTCCGTGTGTGATGCGACCACCGGCCCTTAGCTGCGTCTCTAAAATTTGTTTTTGCATAATTGCTAGTAAGTGTTACTGATGGGCTGTCGTATTTATTGCTCATCATTGTTAATATTGCTGGCTTTGCCCTCGGAGAATCCCAGGTTGGACTGTAAATCAAGGAGCTGAGAATTTGTCTCTGTAGCCGGATTGCTGGCTTCGCCCTTCACACCCGTCAGCGGTGTCTGCAGACCCCTCTTCCCGCTCAGTCCTTGCTGCTTCGGAGAGGTCTTGGTGTAGGACGGGGACAGGGAGCTGCCCAGGGAGGAGCGAGCTGGGAGCCAGAGACC